CACACATACATACATATATACATTTTAATATAGCTTAAACCCTTGGAATAACTATGAAGATTGTACTTTTATTGATTTACATTTTATGGATGATGGATAATGGATGGATGATGGATGGATGGATGATGGATGGATGATGGATGGATAGATGATGGTTGATGGATGATGGATGATGGATGGATGGATAATGGATGGATGGATGATGAATGGATGGATGAATGCATGGATGGATGGATGGATGGATGGATGAATAGGTGGATGGATGATGGATGAATAGATGGATGGATGATGGATGGATGATGGATGGATGAATAGGTGGATGGATGATGGATGGTTAGCTGGAAATCCACTTTGGTACTGGTCCTACTTGGACTAGCTGTTGTTCAAAGAGCTATCTACAACTGGTAAGATACCAGTCGTTGCACAGAACCACACTTCAAACGATCTGAAGCACCATTTTTCTTCTACTGGGCAGAAATTTTATGCAGTGGAGGAAGTTTTCTGAGACATGCACTGAAAGAATTGTGCAGAAAACATATTCATGATCTAATAACATTTAATATGTACATTTATATTCTATGTATGTCAGAGAATCATGAGGTTAGGTTTTACCAAGACTGACTTAAACATGGAATTTATTGAACAAATGAGGATTCTCACCTTTTTTTCATTGCCTTTTAAAGGACTTTGAAAAATGTTAAAATACAAGATGATATGAGATTTACAAACATATATTACAAAAGAGCTCAGAAGTTTGAAAGCATTATTATTAAAAGTCCTGTTTGAAATTGATAACAGATGGTTTTCTGATGTTTAATGAGCAGATAAATATCTGCTGGACTTATTAATAAGTGTAACAGCTTTGGCATCACATCTAGCAAGTAAAACATCAAGCATTTGTTGAAATAATGCACTTCACCCACTGCCTTGATGCTAAAGTTTCTAACAACGTTCTGTTAGTGGCCAAAGTATGAGCTGGGAATGACTCTGAGCTACTACCACACTAAAACTTAGCTCAGTATTTGTCAAACAGACTGAGTTTTAGCCATCTTTATGTTTACTAAAGTTGATTAGTTGGGACGACCATTTTGACTCAGATTGCTTTTAGCAAATTTAATTCAAATTTGTCCTGACTCATGAGATGTTTTGCTAAAAACAGATGTCTTTTATGGTATTTAATCTGACAAAACAAGTGAGCTGATATTGCAGGCTATCTAAGACGGCAGTAAGAAGTCCAGCATGTGGTCTGCCAGCCTTTCATCCTCCTCCATTTTTTATCATCTCTGTCTTTTGAAGCAGACATGAAGCCCTGGTAAAGCACTCAGGTTTGCCAAATGCAGTCCGGTTCCAGCCCTACTCAGAGCGGTTTATAGAGACAAATTCACTGAACTGAGGGGAGTTGCTAAACTACAACCAAAGTATTTTTGTGTTTGTGCTGTGAGTTACTGAAATGTGGCCTATATAAAGTTCTCGACAGAGCTCCTCTGCAGAGTGAGCCACCAGCTCGGACGGGCTCGGGCTGACAGTAAGGCATTTATCTGTATGTGTCGTTCTTCACCTAGGGCAGGAAAAGAGGGAATTTATTCTCTGTCTCGATACAATCCACTCTGGTTGTGTAAACTATTTCCCACTGGTTATAAACTCCAGACTCTACACTTGCAGATGCATTTATCTCCTGTTTGTCCGCTCCATTTGTTTCTCCCTTTGCTTTCATTTCTTCCTCTCTCACAAGTAATTCTTCCATTTTTGTTCTTTCTTTGTCTCGCTGGATTTCACCTCATTTCACCTCCTTTTCTGTGCTTTTATGTGTTGCCTGCTTAAAGTTTTTCCCTTCCGCTTGCTTTTTATTTTTGTGTGTGTATGTGAATGCTGCACTTACACTCGTTTGCTTATTTTTAATTTTTCCATATGATGTTTTCAAGTATTTTTACAACTTCTTGTGAATGCTGTACTGTTTCAGCCATTCATACATAAACCATACAGTTCACTCAGGAGACGAGGGCTTTGACTTTTTTTTTTTTTCCAATTAAAAATATGTTAAACTGTATTTACAAACCTTTTGTTGTGGAAATTCATCCACAAATTGTCAGTTCCTTCATAAAACTCTCTTTTTATTTTGCCTCCTCTTGCTTTATTTTTGCCTTCTTAAGACACTTTAGCTTTTAACTGCTGTCCTTCAATTATTAGCTTTTAGCTATAATTTCTTCTTTTAGCTATGTTCAGCTTTTAGCTTTTATCTAGCCATTTGATGCTTTTAGCTATTAGCCAGCCTTTTAGTAGAATTACCTAATCTTTTAATACCTTTAGCTTTTGTCCATCCATCCTTTACCCGCTTCTTCCTTTACGGGTCACGGGGGTCACTAGTGCCCACAGGTGCCCACAGGTGGACACCCTGGATAGGTCACATGTCCATCACAGGGACACAAACACACTCATTCACACCTAGGGACAATTTAGAGTTCCCATTCAGCCTAACATGCATGTTTTTGGTCTGTGGGAGGAAACACGCATGCACGGAGAGAACATGCAAACTCCACTAAGATTTGATCCGTTGACCCGTTGACCTTCTCACTGAGAGGAACCAGCTCTACCAACTGAGCCACCATGCCACCCCTTTAGCTTTTAGTCAAATTTTACATACTCTTAGCTTTCAGCTAGCTTTTTGCTGCTTTTAGCTATTAGCTAGCATTGTGCTATTTTTAGCTTTTTAGTTAGCTTTAGTTGCTGTAGCCTTAAGCTAGCCTTTTGCTTCTTTTAGTTAGTTTGTACTATTTTTTTACCTTTAAGCATCCTTAAAAATATTAAGCTTGTTTTATTTTGTTGTTTTTTAAACTATAATTTTACTACCTTTAGCCAGCTCTTTGCTACTACTTTTAACTTTCAGCTAGTGTTCGGCATCTTTTAGTTTGAGCAACTCAGCTTCAGCTTCTTTGGTAAGTTTTAGCAGTCAGTCAGCACTCAGAAATCACGCTGCATTTCTG